AAGCATTAAGTAGTGGGCGCTATTTAGGATCTAGGTAAGCATATCGATATAATTCAATATTGGCCAGTAAAAGTGGGAAAATTGGTAGTCGAATATATCTAAGGCCATCTACCGAAGTGGAATGACTGATCCAAGCATTTGGTGACAGCACGGAATCTGATAAAGTAAAATTTATAAGACAACCCTGTTTGGTGTCTGATTGAGGTCTAGTATTTAATATAAGATAAATCAGAACATACATGGGCGAAATCAAAATAAACAAGCATCCAAATTTTATGAAGGTTGTGACGATATAATCGGGTTTAATAACCAAGAGGCTCTTAGATCTAATTTAATTATGGGTGTCACTGGCGAACTCACACGGAGTGCGACCTAATCCTGTAAAAATTAATAAGAAATTCTGAGGAAAAAACATTGGAAATATGAGAAAAATGCAAGTCTTTTTTTAAATTCAGCATGCGAAAATCTGCTGCCTAAAACGACTCGACTGACGGTGGTCCTGAACTCGTTAATTGACTAGGCTTAGTAAACAGGATACAATAGCATAAACGAGCCTGAAGATAGCGGAAGATAAATAGGATATACATAAGAAAAAACTATTGTCCCTAAGCATAAAGAGTAATTATTTTGTCTGCTATAATAAAAGGATGGTAAATGATGGATTGGGATATCCGCTAAGCAAGGCCAAATACATCATAGAATAGGCCGCCAGAGAACACAAAATGCATGTCTAACCTTTTGTGATTTGTCCGTCTTATCGGCTAGAGACATGGTGATCTTACGATGTGTAAATGAATCGGTTGAATGAGGTCTGAAAGTTAAAAACGTAGGATCACATTAGAAAGAGGTACAAATATAGTACATCTAGCAGAGCTAGTTTTAAGTTAGCATTAGAATAAACTTGCCTGAATGTCAGCTTCGTTTTAAATACTGCCTGACCTTGAAGACCACTACCCTCACGGATGAATAGATGATTAAAATCAGACTGAATATCGACCTTATGAATGTCGAAAACTTCACTTCCAAGATGAAGAGACAAAGAACCATCTGACCAGTGAACAATACGAGCATTGGATTCACGTATTTCTTCACCTTGAGCATTTTTGAAAGTACGCCATCGAATCGTGTTTTCAACCTAGCTAGCCAAAAAAGAATGTTTCAGGTAAGATAAATTTATAGTCAGATTATAGCGTAAGAATAAGGGGAAAATAATTAAAGAATCCTGACCAAGACAATTTC